CATTCCTTTCTTTTAAATATATATTTGTATTTTTCTTTGCAGGTGAAGAGCAGATCAAATGAGGCAGATCTCTGGGAAAGCTGTAAGTGAGGAATCAAATCTTGTATTTCAAAAGGCAGCTTCATCTCTCACACTGGATTAAACATCCTTGAGACCAGGCTCTGCCTGGCTTCAGTGTATTGGGATTTATTTGCCCACCTCTTGCTTACCAGGTAGGTTGATTCAGCAGAGGCCAAACACCTGTGTCCCTCCTGACCTTATTAATGGAAATTCTTTGTTATGCTTTAATATTTTATAAAGATTACTGGCAGCAGAAGGGCCCTCTGTGCATCCATGTGGCTGCCTAATGTATTCATTTTGAAGGCACAAATCAGAGTTGGATTAGGAGAGCTGGGAAATGTCAGCAACATGCTCCTGCTGGACAGGCTGCCCTTCCACAGCCAGCTGCTCTGTGCCTCCCCATTTCTACCCAAAAAGGGCAGGAGCAGCAAGAAACAGTTAACAAGTTAAAAAGGATATTAAATTAAAACCCTAATTATTTAGGGAAGAATGGCATTGTTCATCATTTTTCACCCTGCTTTTCCCAAAGCAGTGAAATCTCTGATATCATCATAGAGTCCCAGACTGGTTTGGGTTGGAAGGGACCTTCAAGATCATCCAGTCCCACCCCCCTGCATGGGCAGGGACACCTCCCACCAGCCCAGGCTGCTCCAAGCCCCATCCAACCTGCCCTTCAACACTGCCAGGGATGGGGCAGCCACAGTTTCTCTGGGCAATCTGGACCAGGATCTCACCACCCTCACAGGGAAGAATTTCCTCCTCATGTCTCACCTAAATCACCAGTTTTAATCCATTCCCCCTTGTCCTCTCTCTACAAAAGGTGATCATAGAACAGTCAGGGCTGGAAGTGACCTCTGGAGATCAAGTCCCACCCCTTGCTAGAGCAGAGAGTGGTGTGGGAGGAAGGGCTGATTTCACCTTGTGCTCAGGGAGTGATTTTCAGGATGATGGATGGGGGCACTATGATCAGTGTTAGGTTTGTGACCCATGTGCCTTTTGGCACATTCCTTAAAGTGTCTCAGAGCTTCCATGAGTGAAATGCACTTTGCAGCTGTTTTTTTTTAACTGGTATCTCAGTCAGTCTCTTGCCTGTGTGCTTTGAAGGTGCTGAATGTCCCTTGCTGACCAGGCTGTGTGTTTCTTGACAGATGGACATTGGTGCCCAGCAGATCACACCCAGCTTTTAACAGGCCCAGAAACACCACGGAGACAATGAGAGTTCGGCTCAAAGGGGATGCCATCTGTACCCTCTTCCTGCTGGTAGCTCTCTGCTCTGTACTCTACTCCCAGCTGGAACATTTAGTCCCAGCAGGAAACAAGGAGCCAAGGCAGAAGAAGCCTGCAGCAACACCAAAAATACTCTCTGACCCCAGAGCACCTTGGAGATTGATGCCAGCAGAGGCAATGGTGCCCAGGTCCCAAGTAACTCCTAGTGTCAGAAGGACAGAAGTGGCCAAAACCAGGGTCCAAACCACGACTCCACCCCTGGTGACCGACACTGCCTTCAACTTCAAGAGCTATCTCCTAAACAAGGATAAAAGGAACTTCCATCTCCTTATTAACCAGCCCAAGAAATGCAAGAAAACACCCAGAGGTCCCTTTCTGCTCATTGCTATCAAATCAGTAGTTGAAGACTTTGACAGACGTGAGATTGTCCGGAAAACCTGGGGCAGGGAGGGGCTGGTGAATGGGGAGCAGATCCAGCGAGTGTTCCTCCTGGGAACACCAAAGAACAGGACAGTGCTGGCGACATGGGAGACCCTGATCCACCAGGAGAGTCAGACATACCATGACATTTTACTCTGGGACTTCATGGACACTTTCTTCAACCTGACCCTGAAGGAGATCCACTTCCTGAGCTGGGCTGCTGAATTCTGCCACAACGTGAAGTTCATCTTCAAAGGCGATGCTGATGTTTTTGTCAACGTCGAGAACATTGTTGACTTCCTTGAGAGACATGACCCCACTGAAGACCTCTTTGTTGGGGACATCATCTACAACGCCCGCCCCATCCGTGCCCGGAAGAGCAAATACTACATCCCAGAGACCATGTATGGGCTAAGCATCTATCCAGCCTATGCAGGAGGAGGAGGGTTTTTGCTGTCCAGCTGCACCATGAAGAAGCTCTCCAGGGCTTGCACAGAGGTGGAACTCTTCCCCATTGATGACGTCTTTTTGGGCATGTGCTTACAGAGAATCAACCTCAAACCCATTCTGCACGAAGGATTCAAGACCTTTGGCATTGTCAAGCCTTCTGCTGCCCCACACCTGCAGACCTTTGATCCCTGTTTTTACAAAGATCTCATGGTAGTTCACAGTCTGAAAGTGGCTGAGATCTGGCTCATGTGGAACCTGCTCCACAGCCCACGTCTTTCCTGTACTCAGAAGAAGCAAGTGAAGAAGCCTTTCCAATGGAAAAATAAAGTTCAAGGAACAACTCAGGCCTCACCCCACAGCAGAAACACCCAACAAACCAGCTAAGAAAGGGAACCTGGAGACAAACGAACCACCTTTAGAAGCAGACTATGTTAGCACATCTTATTTACAACACGAAGACAACAAACTATTGCAGGAGTTTGCCAAAATTCCACATTTGCACACACATGCCATGTAGGTCCTTCTCTATTAATGAGTCCAAATATCCATAACAGTATATCTAATTTATTATTATTTATTAGAATGATAGTAGTGCTTAGTGGGCCAGTGTGTAAAAACTGATTGCAAGGAGATTTTTCAGCCTTGTTAGAAGTGTGAGAAATGAAAGCCAGAGGGTAAGAGATAATGCCAAAGAGCACAGGGATTGTTGTCAACTTGACTCAGATTCACTGAGAATTGACCAAAATACAGCAAACAAAGAAAAATCAAGTCACCTTAGTCTATGTTCAAATCAAATCCCTGCTGCCTGCTTGGCTTTCTGTAGGCCTCACGAGAGGAGAACAACTAAGAGTTATTGAAATGGGGTCCTATGTGTTGCAGAGAGGATGGACAAGAAGTTGGTTGAGCAAAGGACAGGTAGACAAATGGGAAGGGCAGACTTCCAAAGGGAAAGTACAAGAAGAACTTTGAGTTGATCCCTCTGAGTCTCGATTTGTAATTATTTATAGCAACACCTCAGTTCAAATATGTTCCACTGATACACTCAGGGGACCAGTTTTGGGCACTTCCATGAACTCTCCACACTATGCCAGCTGGTACTCACTGAAAATCCCAAATCCTTCAACAATACCTTATCTCCCTCCCCATCTAATACAGATCTTCAGAAGGTTTGCATCTGGAGACATCCTTTGGCCTTCTCTTGTGAGGGCAAAAGCACACGGAGCTGCTTTTTTGGGGAGCTTCCACAAACCAAAGGAAAACTTGTCAATGGACTGAGCTGGTTTCTGCAGCCCTTGGTGCTCTTGCCTGGCACACAGTCAGCTGCAAAGAGCAGCCAAGACTTGTCCTACTGCTGTGGGTGCCACGTGAAGGGAGAAAGTATCTTTAGACAATAAGAGCTTCAGAGGAAAAGCCTTTACTCAATGTATTGCAAGAAAGCAAAACCACACAGCAATCTTTCTGCTGGGCTTTCCAATTTTCAGTCTGTAGCTTTTTCAGTATTTTAAGCATCAGACAAGAACACTGGATTGCTTAGTTTTTCAAAGAATAGTCAATACTTTGAAGCATTTTCTTTTGTTTCCCAGCAGCACCATCTTTTCCTTGGACATCAAATAGCAATATTTTCCCTCCTCAACAAAACTCCTGCCCATCAAAGAACCCCAATGCCATTCCTCTTCAGGAGGGCATGTACACACAGCTTCAAAGGAAACTACAATCAGCCATAAATGTCCAGAAGTTGCTTTCCCTTCAGCAGAGCCTGCAGCACAGCTGCATTTCACATCTGGCTATAACCTTCCTCCCACCCAGCAGCAGCCTGGGCTCAGCACTCAAATATTAACTACCCATGACATGGAGCAAAGCAAGCTGGTAGTATCTATTGGTAGACTATTAACAAGTCTTACATGACACCTTCATCATCAGAGTTTAAGCCTTTCAATAATGTATTTCCAAGGAAAGCTCAGCTGCACAGAATTCAGAAGTTCCTGTGTTGATTTGAGATATTTTCAGGGTGCTTCCTGAAACACAAAATGCTTGTGTCAGCTTTACAAGGAGCTCCTGGGGGGGAGAGGGGGGGTGCAAATAAGCCAGGGCCTTGTTGGTGGGAGCAAACTAGTCCTGCCCCTGTCTGCTAACCTGTGGGATAGGGATGTATTTATGAGCTTGTACAGAAATGTATTACCTGGGATTAGTTTACACTGTGGGAAATTATTTATACCATCATTAAAAGTCAGCATGCAGACATGCCTCTAGTGGTCAGAGTGAGTCTGTTGAGACAGACATCTACACACACCTCCTAAGACTAACACCACATGTACTTTTCAGGAAGACAGCAACATGACAACATTATTCATTCATTTGGATAACTTGGGAAATCTTTCCTTATGCTGGACTTTATTTAACGGTCACGATAGAAAAACAAACACCTTGTGATTTCCTACCAGGCAGCCAGGCAGGTTTAGCAGTCCTTTAGATATTACTTTATACCATCATTAAAAGTCAGCATGCAGACATGCCTCTAGTGGTCAGAGTGAGTCTGTTGAGACAGACATCTACACACACCTCCTAAGACTAACACCACATGTACTTTTCAGGAAGACAGCAACATGACAACATTATTCATTCATTTGGATAACTTGGGAAATCTTTCCTTATGCTGGACTTTATTTAACGGTCACGATAGAAAAACAAACACCTTGTGATTTCCTACCAGGCAGCCAGGCAGGGTCAGCAGTCCTTAAGATATTCCTTCTAAACTTGGAGATGCACAGAGATTGGCTCCTCCTTCTGTCATGTCTTCAGATCTGCAATCATGATCCTGCATTTGTGAGTGCATTTTGCCTCAGATCCAAGTTGTTCAGCATCCACTTGGGCCAGCACATATCCTGATGGCCAGCAGAAACACAACCAGAGCAAACTATTTATTCCATTACCTTAGTCTGTGGAATAGACAATTTTCTTTTAACTAAGGAATATTAAATCTAGTGGCTATTAATGAAAGACACATCTGCTTTTGTTCATCAGCTTCTGTGGCACTGCCCGTTTGACCTGGTTTGAAAAGTTTCCATTTGCTTCTGCAGTTGAGCTGGAAGTTTACAGACCCCAGATGTGAGCACTGGGAAAATGCTGGAGGGCAGGGCTGCACCTCCTGCAGTTTAGGACAAATTCTCCTTACTGCCACAGCAGGGAAAAGTTGTTCACTTCACCCAAGCTGGAGGTGGCTTCCTAGGAGATGGGGAGGTCTTTTCAGAAAATCTTAAAACTCTAGGTGTGTGTAAGAACTGGCAGAAAGGACCCTCCACTAAACTTTCTGCTGCATCTGAGAGAACCAAACCCATCCATTTCAGAATGAAATACTGGGCTGCTCTTAACTGGTTAATTCAAGGCACCAGTCAGGGGTTTGTTACAAAGCCTTGCTCAGCAGGTTTTTTTTGTGACTACCCCATGATGAGAAAAGAAAACATGAAAACATCCTGAGTTCCAGTAGTAGCAAGGAAAGCAAGCAGACTTGGAGACAGATATCAGCATCTGAAGCTACTACAGAACAGTAGGTTTTATTGAATCCCAGGGATCCCAACAGAGTCAAATTTGGTTCCTACTGTACATAAGTAGCCAGATTTGGTCATTACAACCAGCAGAGCTGGCCTGAACCACACGTTCAGCACCTCTGAATCCATCTCTGAACACATCAACTGGTAGTGAATGCCAAGACCCATCAGTCCATCACCCACCACTGACCTAGACATCAGAAAAAAGAAAGGGGGGCTGACTGAGCTGGGCTGTGAACAAAATTCTGATATTAAAACAAATGCTCTCAGAAGCCTTAGAAACAGGGGGTGGGGAAAGGGTGAAACACGTTTAGTAGCCTCTGTATTTATAGAAGAAGCAGAGCTACCCAGGGAGGAACAGGGCAAACCCCAGACTTCAGGGCTTTGGTTTTTCTAAGAGAGACCAATGGAGGTGAAAAGGGAATGCAGTTGATTAGACAGCACACTGCATAATCATGCAGGGCTGGGGTTTTTTTTTGTGATTGGTGTTTAAAATAAATGTGTCTCTGAAGGGTACTAATCCTGGAATGTGTAGCGTAGGTGAGAAACATGAAGGCACTTAAAAACAGCTTCCAAATTGCAATATGCAGTACTTTAAAAGAACCAAACTTGAATTGAAAGGGGAATTAAAAAGGGTATGAGAGAAAAAAGGTTATGTTAAAGCACTGCAGGCTGGTCCAGAACAAAAGTTACTGTCACAACGGTATCCCACACTGCAGTAAATTTCCTGCTCTGCCAACTCCAGCTTGCCTTTCCTGCTGTTTCAAGCAGTCAGCATTCCCAGATGATGAAAAGGAATGATTTTGCCTGCTGGAAAAATACACATCCCCACAAACAAAACAAAAGCCTCAGAGATAAGGTTTGGCAGATAAAGCGTTTAAACAGTGACCTTAACTTCAGCTGAAATTCAACCAGGTGAAGAGCATGGTATTGAGTTCAGCCTGAAGCCCCCAAGTAACACACATTCCCTGCAAAAACCAATCCCTTGGTAGGTGCAGCTCTCACTCAGTGAGCTGGTTATACCCTGGCCTTGAGCAAAGCCCCCTACTTCATTAATCAACACTCAATCCTATTTTAATGCCCAAGAGTTGTATCTTCAGTAAGTCACATGTTTTATTTCCCCTTATTTTGCTTCAACCTTAATTTATCTCCAAAACATCCTGGACCATACCTTACAGGAAAAAACAACAACCCATAACCCAACTCATATGTAATTTATTAACTCCCTAACACCCATAGTGATGTGCTTATGTGGCTACATGTGCTTGGTCAGGTTGTGTCTGACACAATCAGCCCCAGAGTGCCTTTGTGTTGGTGTAATCAAGATGAAGTGGGTAAAACAACAAAGAAATGTGTTTATGGGACAAATGTTGACATGAAACAATTGTATCTGCAGAGCTAGCATGGAATCATGCTCTTTGCATCACCACACCAAAAACCACTCTGAACTCAGAGAGGTGCAAAACACAACCAGCCCACGTGAAATTCTGCCCTATCAGACATCTTGGCCCTTGCCTGGACACCCTGAAGCCAGGAAAGAGCTACAGCTTGGACATTTCTTTCCAAGTTCAGAGCCACACAGCTTCCACACAGGTGCAGATTTACTCTGGCTCTAACAAGGTGCAGAAAGTCAACGTGAAGGGTGTGTCAGCATCTTTGGATTCCCTTTGGAAAACACCAGCTGGTGTCTAACCTCCAGCCAGCCCCTGGTAACAATGGATCATTATCCTGCTGTAATGCTGAGATGTATGAAAGACTGTTTTATTTTTTTAAGCAGGTTTGCTGGGAATTCTGGAATCTGAATGATCATGAGAGGATGAATCAGTTCTCACACACCCT